CCTGTAATAGGTGTTAGGGTTACGGGGGGGGGGCCCAAAGGAGAGGGGGGGGAATGAAAACAGATTCCGGTCGGCGACACAAGTCACCAGTGCCCTAGGAAAAACATGAAACTGCAGGCAAGGAACAGCTTTGAAGTGCTCCTCACCAATGCGTGTAGCATTAGTAAAAAATGAGTGGAGCAGAAATCAGAGGCCTTGGGTGTACAGTGCATGGCCATAACAGAGACATGGTTGAAGGCAGAAGAGAGTATCAGCATGTACATTTCGGAGGATTACTGTCTCTGTAGAACTAAGTGAGGAGATGAGAGAATAGGAGGGTAGTCTTGCTGATAATGGTAAAATATCTCGGCCAACGGGCCGTAATCACACCCAACTCTCCCCTTATCAAAGCTATCCCGTGCAAGGCCAAAAGTGGGAACGGGTGGGTCAACTTCGTTTGTGGTTACAGAAGCCCATGGATTAGTGTGGATGAGGACGCTGCCTTGCTAGATCTATTGGAAACCGTAGGCGAAGCATCTGATAACATAGTCATAATGGGGACTTTAATGCACTGGAAGTAAACCGGCAGGACGAATGGGCTCCTCCAGCATCCTTTGGGGACGTCTGACTGCTTTTCTACGGGAGAGAGACCTAATTCAGCATGTACTACAACCCGCGAGATGGAGGGCCAAATGCACAGCAGGACTGCTTTACTTGATCATAACCAAGCGCCTAAATGATGAAAGAAACCTGGTACTGAGAGCGCCAATTGGACGCAGCGACCACACAGTATTACGCTTTGATGTACCATCTATGCCGGATAACCCACCGGATGAGACACCCTGGTCCTTTAAAAGAATGAACATTCAAAGGCTGCTGGACAAGGCCGCCACCTTAAGCTGGGGAGAAATCAAAAACACTGTTGAGGAACTGTGAGGTGTTATAAAGGGCAATCTTACTGGACTTACGCAGGAATTTGCTCTACTGCGGAAAATTAGAAGGCAAGGAAGACCCCCGTGGTGGACGAGTGAAGTGGGCAAGGCCCAAAGACGGAAATATGCCACAGGCCATATAAGGCTTCTACAATATATAAGGGCTTCTCCGACTGTCCAGCAAGCATGTCAGATGAAGTATGAAAAGTGTCTCGCACTTGAGGCCAAAACCTGCCCGAAGGTGTGCTACAACTACTCTGAGGTCAGCAGTGAGGGTGACACAGCGAAAGCAGAGATCATGAAAAGGTTCTTCGAAAAGGTGCATCAGGCGAATGGGGGATCTGCATCAGTCCTCCAAACTGCCTGGGTTCCGGTAATGGAGGAGCCATTCTTTCACCCGGAGGAGATAGACGTATTGCTGAGGGGATTGCAAAGGCACAGATACGCAGGGTCTAACGGCGTCCGCCCGGAGATTATGAAGCCTCTAGCGATCGTCTTGAGTGACCCACTTGAGAGACTATACAGTTTGTTACTTGAGAGTGCAACGGTGCCGGGAGATGGGAAAGTGGCTGAAGTGGTCTCCAAACCTAAAGGGGGCTGCACCGAGGAACCGAAAAACTGCATACCGGTCAGCTTCACACCGGTTTTGCTGAAGGTAATGGAGAGAATATTGAGAGACAGAATGGAGCGGTACCTAGTAACTCACGGTAACTCACGGGAAATCAATATGGCTTTGCTGAAGGAGGTCGTGTTTGACGAACCTACTATCATTTCTTGACGAGGTTACGGCCAGGCTAGATACAGAACACGGTTTCGAAGTATGCTACCTTGACTTTCAGAAAACATTCGACTCCGTCAACCATCATCTTCTAGTGCGAAAAATACAAGCACTCGGCTTTATCCCCGGCATCGTTCGATGGATCGATGAATACCTCCGGGGGAGAACCTGTAGTGGAAAAGATACTACATATACGAATGATAAAGGAATAAACGGTACATGGAACAGACTCACAGAAGGATGGTCCCGTTGGTTGCGTGATCCTGTTCTTCAGATGTGTGGTTCCGGTTGATGAGGTGCAGTGGAGCTGAAAGGGACGGTAGCGACAGTCAACGGACCGCTCGACATTAACTGATAATGCTCGCGTAATGCTTCAGCAACACTCGGAGAACACGTGCGGAGATTCGAACAGAAGTTTTGTATTGTGTATTTAGTTATATTAAAACAAGCTGTACAATCATGTCATATAAAAGTAGATAGCAATGTAAGACACTACAAACCTTCCACGTTAAGGTGGATGGTGCAAGATCGGATAGAGCAGCAGCGTGCAGTGGCGTCCCCCAGGGATCAGTATTAGAGCCATTTCTTTTCCTCATCCATATCAACGACCTACCCCAAAAACTGGTTGGGCCGTGTTTTGTCTTTGCGGATGATATTAAGCTAGTTCGAGATCCAACCTCAGCGCAAACGCAACAAAACGTAGGTCGTTTGCAAAAAGGGCGAAGTAATAGGAGCTATCACTGAACACCAATGAGTGCAGGTAGCTTCTATTCCCGGGAGGCCACCCACCATCGACTTGAAGGATACTGAACCTGGATAACCCTCAGGAAATAACGGAAACAGGGTAGATGAGGGATCTAGTAGTGCTCATATACAAGACCTGCAAACCAGCCAAGCAGTGTCTTCTAGGGACGACAAGGGGAAGCAGAGCGCGTCATCACTTTCTGAGAACTGTGGCCTCAAGATAGAAGGTAGTCCTTCTCCAGGTTTACAAAGTGTTTGTGAGGCCGCCAAGCACGGCCCATTTCACCTATCTTTCTAGCCCGTCGTTTCAACCCCACTTTTAGTTC